GTAATTAGAACATTGTCCTTCAAGCTTTGAAGGCACGGATTGTGGGGATGCAATTTGGCTGCAATTTACTCTGACCTCAGCTAGGGATGTTATCTCACGGTACCCCCCATGGCTTCATAGGCCCTTACTCTGGTCTCCGCTGTGGCTGTTAGCAGGGAGGTCAGATGGACCTGGGCAATACTGCAGTGCTCATGAGTCACTTCTGTGAGTCACTTAGCTTCAGTCGGACTCACTTCCTAAAGTCAGCCAAGCGAGGGAGTTAACTTTTTGCCACCTGCACTGCTTACAATAATATTGCCGTCTCTGGCAGGGCCCGGCCTTTTTCGGGTGAATGGGAGTTTGGTAGGTAGGCTAGATATGTTTGGCAGAGAGAGCAGCACATGAAAAAGCTCAAGAGCAAGTTGACAAATGTGACTGAAGATGAGAAGATAAGTGGGGAACAATAATGGAGAGGCTTGGAATATTATGAAAAACCTTAGCATGTGGCTAACACGACTAGAGCCAGGTTTCAGAATCTTTGCTTAGAACCGGCTGTGGTTTTGGCTTGGTTTGTTCCAGAAGGGTTCGTGTGCTACAACACTGGCCCTAATAGGGCTTAGGAAAAGGGGGTAGAAATTAGCAACCTAGGAAAAGTTGAGGCTGGTGGAAGCTCTGCTCTCTGCAGGGATGGAAGGATTGTGCATGGGACAGTGGTTAGCTTTCCTGAGAGTAAGTTGTTTTAAAAAGGGTGTGAATGATCCCCCTCCCCTCTGTCTGTCACCCTGAGTTGCCAATGTTCTCTTCTGAGTGCCCCAGGCTCCCTTTCCGCCTTTCCACCATGTTGTGACACAGTCAAGGTTCCTCAGCAGCGACCAATCTGATGAAAGCACTCAATCTAGGACATTTAACCTCCGAAATCCTAGGCTAAATAAGTTTGTTTTCTTATAATTATCCAGCCCCAGGTACTTTGTTGTGTCAATAGAAAACACCAAGTAAGGGGCTAGTGTGAGGAGAGGAGAGTGCAATACCCTACCTGAAGAATCCCCAGATGCCCAGGCGATATTGAATGACCACCACCACCACGTTCTCAAGGGCAGACAGCACCACTCCATCATAAGTCGATGCCCCGCCCAGCACCAGACCTCCTCCGTGGATCCACACCATCACCTGCACAAACATGAAACAGACACACTTGTTACTGGGAGCAGAACTGAGAAGGTCCTCAGAGGTTGTCTGATTTGGTCGCCTACATCAAGGCTGTAACACACGGAAGCCATTGTCCAAAATTCACCAGTGCCCAAAAAGTTTGCAAAAGGCAATCCCGTTCTTCCGCATCTCTCCCCAGCTGGTCCCAGGACACCACGCTTCTCACTGCACCTTGGTTACTACTGCCTTCTCCGTGGACCCATGCGCCTTGACGTCGCAAGGCTCATCAGACTGAGAGCTGTCATGGGAGCAGCAAAGACCAAGGCTGTTTTAGTCTTCTCAACACTCCGTCATCTTCGTGCCTTGACCATTTAACAGCCCCCGTATGTCAGCTTCACTTCAGTTAACTCTTTAATAGTGAATTAAACTTGTCAGTGTGGGGATGTTTATTTCTAGAAGCCACAATATCCCCTTTTTAAAATTATTTTCAAAATTTGGATTAGTACATATTTATAGT